GCCCTCTATTTTGGTATATAAGCCCGGCAAATAAAGCGTAGATAATAATTGCAGATAGAAAGATATAGAGACAAATAATTGAATCAAGTGAGCTGTAGTGACCGTAAGTAAAGTGCGTGAATCGTTTTGAATTATAGCGTGTGTTTAAGTTAAAGTGACTGTGGAAACTCTATGTATTGCAAAGTTGTATTGAGGAAGAATAAACTAGTTTTATTTAAGAAAGGACTTGTATTGCTGAAGTTTTTCGGAAAGAATTTCTATGGGAAATTAACAAACGACCCTCTGGAAAAATGGAAACGAGAAGTGGCAAATCAAACTACAGCTTAGCAGATTTGATGGCAGCAAAAGAAAAACGAGAAAATAAACAAGAAATAAGATTACAGCAGTTGTTGGAGGAAAAAGAAAAGAAACAAGAAGAACGAGAAAAGAAACAAGAAGAGAGATTACAGCATTTGTTGGAGGAAAAGAAAAGAAACAAGAAGAGAGATTACAGCATTTGTTGGAGGAAAAGAAAAGAAACAAGAAGAGAGATTACAGCAGTTGTTGGAGGAGAAAGAAAAGAAACAAGAAGAGAGACAACAGCAGTGACAAGAAAACCTGCAACAGTGGCAGCTCGAACAGCAAAATAAACAAGAGAGATTACAGCAGTTGTTGGAGAGAAAAAAAGAGAAGAAACAAGAAGAACGAGAAAAGAAACAAGAAGAGAGACTACAGCAGTGGTTGGAGAAGAAAGAAAATAAATAAGAAGAGAGATTATAGCAGTGGCAAGAAAACCATCACCAGTGGCAATTGGAACAAGAAAAGAAACAAGAAGAAAGTCTCCAACAGTTGAGAGAAAGCCAGTATACATAAATGGAAAAGATTAGTAAATTTCAAAGTGAATTAAATACATTAAAAGATGATTTACTGTCTTTTACACAAGGAGGATATATTAACCATGGACCTAATCAGCCCCAGACAACAGGAAGCCCCTTCCTGACCCCGCAGCAGAACCCTAATACAGACATCTTCAGTCCTGTTAGAAGTCACATCCCAGACATGTGTGTCAGCAATAGGGGTGATCTACTACGAAGGAAGCCACAGGAATTCGATGGGAAGGCACCATGAGAAGCATATAGAGCACAATTTGAGCTACTGGCAGAAATAAATGGATGGACAGAGGAGCAGAAAGCAGTATACCTCGCAACGAGCCAGAAGGGACAACCACTGGAAATACTTGGACAGTTGTCAGCAGACAACAGGCACAACTATAGAGCACTGGTAGCTGCTCTATAAATCAGGTATGGAACTCAAAACCAGTCTGAAATCTACAGTGCTAAGTTTAGGACTAGAGGCAGTGCTAAAGGGGAGAGCCTGCAAGAGCTGGCACAGGATTTCGAAAGTATGGCACACAAGGTCTATCCAACTGCAGTACTCGATTGCCTCAAGTTGTTGCTGAGGGATCAGTTTGTAGATGCCTTGGAAAGTTTACAACTGAAGATACAAGTAAAGCAAGCACACCCCTCTACTATGCAGGATGCAATGGTCAGAGCTCTTGAATTCGAATCCTATGTTAAGTCCAACACAGTCATCAGGATTCAAGGCCAAAAAGGTCAGGTTTCAGAGAGGTTTAAGGAACTTTGCTGGCACTGTAACAAACCTGGGTACAAGAAAGCTCAATGCCAGAAACTTCAACACAGGGAAGATGCCACGGCAGGAAAGGCTGCTACCCAGAAAGGTTGTTGGAACTGTGGAGAGTAAGGACATATGAGGAGCCACTGTAAGAAGAATACTACCAATAAGTCAGCCTTAGGGAAACCAGTAGTGGTTGGTGTTGAGGGACGCCCACCAACCCCCATTGTGAAAGTACCAACAGCTAGGTGTGAAATGCCAAGCACGCATAGTGTCTATGTGACAGGAAAGTGGATGGCCAAAAGTGCAACTTTGTCATAGATTCTGCATCTCAGCAAACGCTTGTGAGTATCAGGGTGCTAGATCACAAAGGAGTACCAGAAGTCATACAGAAGCTCTGTGGTGTGACAGACCACTATGCAAGGTTGTAGGGACCAGTGTGGGTAACTATTGAGCTCATGGGCATGAAGGACAGACACAAAGTATACGT